GCACACACAGTCCTGCCTGCTTAACAAATGGGGAGTTGACCGGAGAACCTTTTAACAAATGGCAGCAGATAAAAATAGTGTGCGTTTTCCCGTAGTGTTCGTCAGCGTTTGTGTCAGGAATTGCTTCCCTAAGAATAACCTGCCGGTTAAAGACGGAGCGTCTCAAAGCAGCTTCACACTTCGCTGTTGAAATGATCACGCTGACGGCGCCTCGTCTGGGCTCGGATTTAATCGAGGGCAGACGCGGACTACCAGAAATGTTCCAGGCTGCAAAGTTTCCATCTGCGGGGACCAATCACAACAAGCCTGTGATCGAGCGATTTTAAAGTTGTTGATAAGATATTTCAGATCCGATCGTTCCCAAAAAGCTTTTTCCACTTGTAATGGAAAAAAAAGTTTTTTATAGTAATTGACAGCTCCCTTTAGAATACGCTAGTCTCCAGCAGGCGGACCCTGTTTCACAGACAGACCCAATCCAGCCCACAGCATCGTGTGCAGCATCACTTCATCATTTGTCTCCACGTCGCTTCTTTTTCACCGTTGTTTTTCTTTTTACATCCTGAAGGCTCAAGGTCGGCGATTGAGCCGCTGCCGGTTAGGATCAGGGCCCATTTGCACCGAGGAGTGACGTCTCTGGTAGAGACCTGTCAATCAGCGTTTGGCCCCCGCCCTAAAGCGTCATGCTGTGTTGGAGAAGACTTGAAGAGCATCTTCACTCTCTGCAGGATACACAAACACGCACACGCTGATGTAACAGGGTCACACGTGTTGTGCACATCGTCTGCACGTGTAGAGCGAGAGTCAAATAGACCATAAAGCAGGGTATGCTTTAGGGCGGGGCTACAGGCTGATTGACAGGTCGCTACTGGAGGGATATACATCGTCTCTTCGTCCCCCTCAGTCCAAATACGTTCACTTCCTGTTCGGATGCAGAAAAGCAGACTACGTCCACTTACGTTCGGTTTATGATTCAGGCGCACGTCTTTCGCCCGTCAGTGACCGCGGCGAGGTCACTGACCCCCCCTCCCCCCCGGTGGGTTCTCATTAAAACCGTTTACATCCTCACAGATGAGATCTCGTGTCTCTCCTGCTCCGCGGGCCGTGACTAACTCCCGAGCAGAAGGCCACGGGAGGACATGTCCTCACGGAATGAGTGACGGGTGGGACGCGTCTGCACAGCGGTGGTTGCCGTTGGAAACCATTTTGACCAATCAAAGGGGACGAACGTAGCCGATGTTGCAGGACGTTAGGAAAAACATTTTCATTCATTGAAACTGTTTAATTAAGTTAAAGGTCGAACTTCGGCACGCGGTGGTTGCCTAGCAACAATAAAACAATAAAACAGGGTGATCAGATGAGGCAACAAAGTCCACGTCAGCCTCGTGGGATCAGGAACTGATCGAGACCATGAATCAGAGGTCTTCACCCAACTGTGTGTGTGCACATCTCCTCGTGCACGTTCACACACACACACACACACACACACACACACACACACACACACACACACACACACACACACACACACACACACACACACACACACACACACACACACACACACAGGTTCCACCCGTCCATTGGACTCTCTGCTGTCATCACCATTGAAATCTTATGCGAATCAACGAAGAGATTACTTTTCCTTTTGGCCCCGGAACTCTAACACACACACACACACACACACACACACACAGACACAGACACACACACACACAGAGACACACACACACACACACACGTATGACAGGCGACAAATGCCAGTAGTGAGTAATTCTATACGAGTGATTGTGGTCTCGTAGTCTCAGCGTTATTTCCAGCTCCTCGTGGCTCAAATAAAAGGCGACATATTGAACCGATGAACGGCGGCGGCGGCGGCGTAGAAGAAGTGGACGTGGTCGTTGTGACGTCACTCTTTGGTTTGTGGATGTTCGGCTTTTGGCCGTCGCCCAACAGGAAATGGTCGTATTTGGACCGAGAAGTGACGTGGAGACGGCGTTTAAGTCTCTGAACTCAAATGTCGGCACATGAAGTGGAATTAAACTGCAGCCGTTCCATTCATTTAAAGAGAGGATAAAAGTTTGGAATCAATGCTTTTCTTTTTCATGACTATCGATTCATTTTCATGAGTGACCCCGATCAGCTCTAAATATTAATCTTCATCCCAAACATTTGAATGGCCGCGTGTGTCGTATAAACGACGACAAATCACTTTTGCTGCGGATCAGATTACAACTACTGAAATGTCCCTTTACAACCTTCCACATTGGGGCGGATCTGCATTGCTCTTTACAGGTAGAACTAGCTCAGCTAGTTAGCGCTCCGCGTATCCTGAACGTCACTGAATCCCACCGGACTCTACTTTTCATTTGTTAGATTCAACTCATTTCTTTTAAGCGGAATAACAGTAACGTACAGTAAGAGTTGCACAAACAAACTAATTCCTTTTTGGTCTTTACAAATGAGAAGATCCACCAGCCGACTTCTTAACGGGACGATTTTCATTTGGAACCTGGCTTTGATCCTTTGGATCCTACAGCGTCCGACCGATCAGACGCTCTGCGATGGAACAAAGAACCCCGCGGAGATGCTGCTTTACGTCCCTCACCATTTATAGGACCAGCGTAACAGGTTCATCCCGAGCTCAAAATAAGCCCCGAAAGGTCATCTGGGACGAGAAGAGGACAATCAGGAGGACATATTGTCTTTCGTGGGAGGAAGGACTTCCTGGCTTCATAACTCAAACACCCCCTCAAGGGCTTTGGAGCGACGTCCCCTGGAGACAATTACATCGGTCCGGAGGAATCGGAGAGCAACTGCAGACTATTAGCAGCTATTAGCCGGTAACAGGAGACACTATTTACATTTCACAAACCCCTGTGCATGCTGGGAGTGTAAAATCAGAGCAGCAATTCTATAAAAGGAACTTGTTAGTAACGGCCCGGGCAGCCAATCAAACGCAGGCAAACCCACTTCCTGTCCACCTGCCGGTCGATGCAGTAGGAAGGGACGGGGGCAAAGGCAAACCAGAGGGGGTATTAGCAGGTTTTAAAACAGTAAACGCGTCTCCTGGGAGGTCGGGGGCCTTAAACCTGCAAAGATTGATTATCACATAGAGGGTCTGTATTAAGGAGGTATCGCGGATCATCAAAGGTGGAGAAGCGCTTATGCTACGTAACTAGCTACATAGCTACATTTGAAAGGTTACACTTGAACACATCGCGACAGGGTTATGAGGTTCTGATTCTGAGCAGAGCACGAACGCATCGTACGGTCAAACTCTGCTGGTTAAGCGTTAGCGGTTAGCTGGTAACGTTGCTAGCTCCTCCTCCTGTTGATCCAAACACAGATTCCAACGTCACGTGATCAGAGACTAACAATGATGTCATCCTCACTGACTTTACTGACTGATGGAGGATAAACCGTTTTCTCCCCCGTGATGGTTATTATTATGGTTACATTAATCCCAGGAACATCGGCTGCTAACGTCACAACCTAAATGCTCCTCAAAAGGACTATTGATGCCTCCAACTAAACCCTCCGAGCTCCTCTTCATCCTCGAGCTGTCAGCGAGGGTGGACGGGGTCTCGTGGGACCACGTGTGTGTTTGTTTTGTTTATGGAAGCATTAATACGGGAATAGGGTCAAAATAAATAATGGCGACATGACGACAGGTGCAGGAGAAGGGAGGCCGGCAGAAGAACACGTGGAGCCGAAGGTCTCGTCTAGAGTCCCCAGAGTTTGACTCTCCGACAAACATATTTTTACTTTTCTACAAAGCATTTGTAAACTGATCATTTCCATGACATTTTTGTAACAATTTTTTCTAAACTTCTTTTCCCTGTGATATTTTTTAAACTTTCTTTTCCTTTACTTTCTTTTCAAAACGTTTCTTGAACTTATATTTTTGAGCTTATATTTTAGTCCATGATGTTTTCTGACCAAATGTATAGAGACTTTTTTCAAAAACAAATTAAACCCAATATTTTTTAACTTCTCCAAGCATTTTATATGTATAAAATAAAAAATAAAAATTAATTTTATTTCCAAAATGTTTTAATTTTCTGATTTGCGGTTTGGATTGTCACCAACAAACAAGGGAGCAAAAATGAACTCTGTCTCCCTCTTTCCGTCTGAAAATATTAGGTTATATCTAAAAACCTGTCTTCTATATACACATCCATATATATATATATATATAGAGCCCGGCTACGACCTGGATCCAGATGCATTTTCCATCCAGAATGCCGAGACCACATTCATCTTAAACTTTCCAGTCCATAAAAAAATCAGACATCTCCTGAAGCAGGGCCTCGCCTTGGAGCCCATTTATAGGAGCAGAGAGAGAGAGAGACAGCTTTTCCAGACAGACCAGTCTGCCTGTCTGTCTGCCTGTCTGTCTGTTGTTATTTGTGTTTTTTACCGGAGCCTTAATGGCATGTGAAATAATCAGGGTCAAAAGTCAATCAACGAGAGAGAGAGCAAACGGACCCGGAGGGGAGAGACGTGTGCTAAGCTAACGCGGCTAGGACCAGCATGCTCCGTGAACAAATCCAAATAAAGGCCGGCGCGCTCTCCTCTGAAGAGTTTAAGAGGCGCTCAGCGTGGATTCCAGTCTACGATGTTGACTCTCATAAACATCCCCCCCCCCCCCCCCCCTCCTGGCCCAGGGACCATGTGTTCTCATGGGCTGAACTTGGCGAGACCAAAGATTTACCCCCCCAACATGTTTCTGGAGGAATTTCCATCACCTCTGTGCTTCTAAAATCCCCTCTTAAAGAGTGTTTCAGGGGCCCAACGGATACAAACAAATCTTGTTTTACTAATGTGAACAGTCACTGAGGCCGGGGGGACTGGGGGGGGCTGGGGGTCACCTACCAACTAAACATCACGGACTACGTCTCCACAAACATAACATTCTCTTTTCTGCCCTTATTCCACATCAAGACAATATTCCCACTCATCTGTTTGCACAGTATATATGTGTGTATTGATACATCCTTGAAGCCAGCAGGTCAGGTGTTACCTGTCGATGAGCGTGCCGAACAGCAGCCGGATGCTCCTCTGGAAGTTCTCCGTGCAGAGCCAGCTCCACTGCTCCTCCACCAGCACACACAGGAGGTTCAGGGCCACCTCGGCCAGCACCGCCTCGCCTGCAGAAGAAGAAGCAGAAGACGCGTACTGAGCACCCAGCAGCGCCTCACTTCATACATCCATCAGCACTGCCCCCTGGTGGAGGGGAGCTGCAGGCTCTGCTAACCGTCACATATACCTGATCAACTCACACACATCACAGTCCTTCCCGGATATGTGAACCGTTTGCAACCGAGAATCATCAACACATATCTTGCTGAATTTGACTTGGTTTCAGTTCCTTTGTGTTCCTCCGAAGGAAAGAGACCACGTGACAAATCAACAAAAAAAAGGCGGTTTTAAAACAACCAAATGTACAGTCTTCTGAAGCCAAACCACTTTAAAAAACAGTAAATGAAAAGTGCACACATTGGAAAAGGACTCAGGTTTGACACACGTCTTCATGAGCTTCTTCTTCTCTTGTTGCTAAACAGCTTTGAGGCCCATTAGCGCCCTTAAGAGGACCTGAGAAAATAAACTCTGGTGCGGGACCCGGGTGGAAAGGTTAGGTCTAGACCCCCATCCTGTTCTCACCAGCTTTCGTTCTGTTGTCCCCACTCAGCACTCCGAGTCCTCTCGTCTCCGGACCGTCCTCCCCCCCCGACACCGCTGGGACGAAGGTCTTCTCTTGCTCGGCGATGAAGGCCTGCAGGTCTCCCAGCGACATCCCGTTGAACACCTGAACGAGTAAAACCCCTTAATAAGTAAAACACCCTTAAGGAGCCCCGTGAGAAAAGGGGCTTTAGAAGGTCACTCGAGGCGTTTTCTCACCGTGCCGGTCGGCTCCGGGCTGAAGAGAAGTGGCGCTCTCGTGTCCGAGCCGTTCATGAAGGGGACGTTTTTACTGGAGAACTTCAGACGAGACCTGAGGATCAAACAGACTGAATCAATCTGCTCTGTGTGACTCTACATGGACCATAACGTACTAAATGAACATCACGCTGTGTTGAAGAAGACTTGAAACTAGAGACTAAGACCATAAACTCATGTTTACAACGTTTACTGAGGGAATAAACCATCATTTCCTCGTAGACTTAAGTCACACCTGCTCTTCTTGTCGGTACTTATTCTCCCTCCATCCACCTCAGAGTCGTTGTCCTCCGTCGGGCTCTGAGGTTCTGAGCGAGGAAACGCCGTCTTCAGGGTGTCCACGATGGCGTTCACCATGATCTAAAAGCACACACCAACACACAGTGTGTGACATCCTCAATCAGAGAGGAGACAGATGTTGAAGGTGTTCATCGCCGAAGCCATGTATAAATATATGTTGCTACACTGTTAGCGTAGCGTAGCACTAATCCACGCAAACTCCATAAAAAAAAAGAGAGCAGTTTAAAGGTTTTCTGCTTTTAATTGACTGTTACGGGGGGGGGAGATGGTTCAGACCTTGTCGATGCGCGACACGATGAAAGGCTTCTTGACGAACGCGATCCTGGCGTCGGTGTTGAGGGCCAGGAACTCCTGCATCGCTTCGCTGTTGGCCACTTCAGGGACGGCACACAGTTGCTGAGGGAGAAGAAAAGAGAAGAGAGCTGGTCGACGAGCCGAAGACAAGCTTCAGAAGTGAAACAGACAACCGAGTGTGGACGCAGGGGACCTTCAGGAAGGTCTCCAGGAGCCCCTTCCTGGCTTCGATCTTGTCGCTGTCCATGTTTCCAAACGGCATGTCGGGGAATATCTTCTTTGGACCTTTGACAGCTGAAACGTTCAAAGTGTTCAGAATCAAACTGGATCTTTGGGTTGTTGGTGGATCTGTTTGACCCAGAGCCAATGGGACTGGGACCCCCCCCTCCCTCCCTCACCCTCCCTCGCCCTCCCTCATGCCCCCTCACCCCCCCTGACCTTTGATGAGTCTGCGCAGCTCGTTCTTCTCTTCCAGCCGGGTCTGCAGGTTGAGGAACTCGCTGTAGCGCCGGTTCACCGTGTGGAACGCCACCTGCTGGGCGGCCGGAGGATTCTCGCCCCCCGCCGGCGAGAACTCGGCGTCCTCGGAGCCCGGGGGGGCGCTGCCCGGGGTCTCGCAGCCCATCGCCGTCTCGTACTGAAAAACGGCACAAAATGACCCGTTATGAGTGTGAAAGTGGTGAATGTGAAACATCGACCTGCAGCAGCTCTAAAAACATCATTAAACACGGTGGGTCCAAACCTCCCGTTTCCTGGACTTGTTATGGCGGCTTATGGCGGCAGACCTGACGGAGGAGCTGCGTACCTTGATGGTGTAAAGGGTGTAGGGATGCGAGCCGGTGCCGCGGTGCTCCTTGGCCGTGATGGTGCCGGTGATTCGGAGGTTCTGGATGACGACGGGCCCGTCGGGGCTGATCAGCGGCTCAAAGCTGAACGTGGCCAAAGGGGAGGAGCCCTGCGGCGGGCTGACCACGCTCAGCTCGTTGTGCTCCACCCCCAGGAGGAGCTCGCGGGCCGGGTTCCCCGAGGGGAAAGCCTCCCTGTGAAGGTCCCGGAGGCCCCCGTTCAGGTGCCCCACCGGCTCAGAGTTCACCAGGACTCGGGGGCAGAAGCCGTCCGGCTCCTCCGGGTCCACGCCGTCAGGGCGCTCCCTCTGCGCGTCGAAGGGGCCGTCCTCCCGGCCCACCAGGACCAGGGAGTCGGTGGAGCCTCGCTTGTAGTCCGCCGAGGGAGAGTCCAGGTCAGAGTCGTTCTCCTGGTAGAAAGGGTTCGACTTGCCGTCCCCGGAGTAGTGCCCTAAAAAGGGCGGAGCCGGCTCCTCCTCCTCGGCGTTGCTCTGCGGACCGTCGGGCTCCTCGGGGTCGATCGCGTCGTGGGCGGCGAGCTCAGGCGTTCCAGCCTCACTGATGGTTTCTCTCGGAGGACGAGGCTCGCCTTCCGCCTGGGGCGTTGGCTCCTCTCGCAGCGGAGCGAGCTCCGACTCGACGGGCGTCGCTGGAGCCGGTGGCGACGGCGCGGTCGGCTCCGCCGCCACCGGCTCCTGCTGCTCGCCGAATATTCCGATCAGAAGGCCGTTCAGCCAGTCGGGGTCCGACAGCTTGGCGATCAGCGGGAGCAGCACGTTGCAGGTGATGAGCTCCCCGACCACGAAGCAGCCCGTGCGGCTCTCCAGGTGCGGCGAGGGCACCAGCACGTGCAGCAGCAGATCCACCACCGCTCTGGTGTAGCTGACTTGCACGCCAGCGGCGGCGTCGCAGTCGCCGGCAGCCGGGTGAGGCGCGGTAACCGTGGAGTAGGCCCACCACAGCCGCTCGCCCTCACCGCCCCACTTGCCTGCCGGGGGTTGCGGCCGCTCGGACGCCAACTCCTTGGCTCTGATGTAGTCCTGCAGGTGGCCGCCGAACAGATCCAGGATCCTCAGGGTCAGTTCCTGAGAGGGATGCAAAGTGGAACTCGTGTTCACTTTACTGAGGGAATAAATCAACAGAGATATTCTCATGGACCACAGGAGTCGCCCCCTGCTGGTCTCTCACAGGCTTTTTGCAAATCCACAGAACTGACATTGAAGTATTGGATTAGATTAAGTGTCTTTGCTCTCAATACCTTCCTGTCCAGCTGCCTCGCGCGGACCTTCAGCTCCATGGCCATGGAGATCATGGCCTCTTGAACCTCCGTCTCAAAGCTACTCTCGGAGGACACAGTGGAGAACCACGAGGTGACAAAGTCCCTGATGATCTTCCTCACCGTGTTGCGGATCTCCCGGTCCAGGTCACACTCGTCCTCCACGGACGGTGGAAACTGAAATAAACGTGTGCCATACAGGAAGAAAGGAAACAATCATCTTATCCCAGAAAACCAATAAAACCTTCACGCCCGTCTACTAACTCAGTCAAACGTGCGCGTACCTGCTCCAGGGCGATGAACCTCTCCAGGTGAACCACGCTGTTGGACTCCAGGACGGCCTGTGAGCCGAGCCAGCCGCCGAGCACCACCAGCAGGCTGGTGAACACGCACAGCAGCCAGATGTTGACCAGCAGGTGGAACAGCAGCAGCCAGGCCAGCACCACCCCGACGCCCAGCAGGCTCTTCTGCCCCAGCAGCTCCGCCATCGCGCTGCGGGGCTCCGCCGCTGGCTTCACGGGCCCGGGAGGCGCAGCCACGTCACACCTTAAACAAACAAAGAAATATTTTATTTTATTTTGTATGAACTGTTATTCTGTATTCATCGTTTTAACAGCTGCTATCAGCTGTGCTACGTGTCTCACAGCTTACAGCCCCGATAAATACCGTTATCTGCTCCGGTGAGAAAACGCGCCACCAAATCCCGGTTACAAATCTGACAATTTACTGCCGATTCGCTGCACGCGAGGTTACGACGCACAAACGCGCTTTGAGGAGCATTGCGAATCCATTACATGCAACAAAAGAATATTCGGCCTACAGTTTATTCGACCCGAAGCGATATATCTCAACACAATCATCTATTTTATGATTAAGTTGATGTTTTAAGACTTCCTCCTTCTACGCCATCCATAGGTAACTAAACGAATGAAGGGCCTTAATGGACGAAATATTAACCACCTAAAAGCTGTTTGGTCAACTGCCTCGATGCCGAAATGACGAGAATATCCGTTGCATTTGATAAATATATCATAATACGTCCTGTGAGGTGGCACCCTTTGCCAAAAACCGTAGCGCGCTTAAATGTGTGCATTCCTGGCTGGAGGTATGGCGCGTTGGGCTATCATAGCTAGCTACAGCTAAACAGAGCACATCGCGTGCACAGTACATCATTCAACGTGACGTCATTTCACGAAAGGATATCCATTAAAAAAAAAAAAAAACATAAAAGATGAATATGTTTAACCTGCTCGAGCTGTCATGGCACGGAGCGGCGGGTGACATGAGCGCCTCTGTGACGTCAGCCGCGGCCGCTTTGTTTACTTCCGGTATGGTGACGTCAGTAGCTCTGACGCGCCCTTAATGCTTTGGAACCGGTTGTCATAAAAGTAAACCCAAAACACAGGCCTTAAAATGACGGCTTGTCTCAGTAAAAAGATAAAAAGTGGGTTGTTTTTGTTGGCATCCGTCAGCTACAGTTCCCAGGTTTTTCTTAAGTGGCTACGACTCATTGAATATGTATTTTATGATGATGAAATGTACTTTTGAACAGCTTATTTTTATAGACCTGAAAATATAGACATTTGCTTTTACTTAGTTGCTGCAGGTTTTAAAACGCAGGTTTCACCCCGTCCTCTCCTCCTCTTTTTCTCCATCCCTGCACTCTGCAGACCCAACAAACCGACTTCTCAGCTGAACCCTCAGTCCAATTACACGTAACGTGGCCGACGTAACTCATCAAAGCCCCGTCAGTTCAGCGACCTCTGTGTTTCCATGCAGACTGACATAAACCGCAACCCCCTGACCTCCACTAACGCCACATCGCTTCATCACCTGGGGACGTAGCGCGTCACCTCGACAGGTAAAGTCTGTCTCCGGAGACTTTCTACGGAACCAGAGACCGGAGTCAACTGGGCAAGACATTCCACTCACTACTAGTTAACCGCAAAAGAAGCTACTCAACATCCAGCTTTGAGTACGTAAGATGACACAAAGCTTTTTAATGTGAAGAAAATCAATTCAGTTCTATTCGGACACAACAAAGATTCTGGGGATCTTTGACTTTTATTTACATGAAGAATTTTAACGGGCGAGCTGCAAAAATAATTCCAATGCACCAGAAAATAAAGGACATTTGTGATGGAAACATTTGTAGTCGAGTGTGACACGTTTTGGGTCCCGAGCTCGTCGGCTGGGGTGTTGAGAGAAGATGGGGGAGACGAGGTCTGCTGATGACCGTTAATCTGATTTGTTCAGTGTGGTTGACTCTCGAGCTGGTGTGGGAAAATACTTCTGGAGGCCCCGAGGAGCCACACAGTCCGCCTCATTAAGAGGACGCGGGTCTTTCCTTTTAAACGATCTTCCGGACGTTGGAAGTTTAGGTTGCGCTCGTCCTCGGCGATGCATCGGCTCACCACGACGTACGAGACGGTGCCTCTGCTGCAGGTGAGTCTGCTGTTTATCTCCCGACGGCCGTCATGTTCGCACCAAACTCTATTATTTAGAAAGAAAACCTGTTTTAACCTGTTTGTTTTTCAGCTCTTAACTATTTATTTTGTATTTGTTAGTTATTTGTTAATGGTAATCCTGCTGTGTGGTTCCCTGTCTGGTGTTTTTAATCTATTCTAAATAATTAGTCATGTTTACACCAAACTCAATGCATTTTCTTACCTGTTTTTGGAGAAGAATCTGAAGAACTGCAGATTTTGGACTGATGACATTCAGATGAGTGCGTCGTTATTTTATGTAATACTTACATTTCATTTGGAAGGTTTCCTGCTCTTCTGACGGTCGAGGGGGGAAACCGTGGAGTTCTGCTCTCAAGATGATCCCTCACGTGTGCAAGATCTGTAAGTATGAGAATTATGAGGACGTAAACTTGTGTGAAAGATGTGTGTGAAATTCAGCTGTGAATGTGAGTCAGTTATCTTTGTAAAAGATGAGAAACTGGGAGGTTAGTTTAGTTTTAACTAATGTAATAACACTAATAATGATAATAATGATCTCTATTCACATTTCAAAGAGACTTCTTGGCGCCAACGTGTCATTAAAGTTCTCCTGTGACTACGTGTCTGTTAGTCACCGGGGCAGCTCCTGTTTAGCAATGAGTGGGTGAATGGGTGAGTGAATGAGTGTTAATGGATGTGAATAGGTGAGTGAATGAGTGTTAATGGATGTGAATGGGTGAGTGAATAAGTGAGTGAATGAGTGTTAATGGGTGTGAATGAGTTAGTGAATGAGTGTTAATGGATGTGAATGGGTGAGTGTTAATGAGTGTGAATGGGTGTTAATGGATGTGAAAGGGTGAGTGAATGAGTGAGTGAATGAGTGTTAATGGGTGTGAATGAGTGAGTGAATGAGTGTTAATTGATGTGAATGGGTGAGTGTTAATGGGTGTGAATGGGTGAGTAAATGAGTGTTAATGGATGTGAAAGGGTGAGTGAATGAGTGAGTGAATGAGTGTTAATGCGTGTGAATGAGTGAGTGTTAGTGGGTGTGAATGGATGTGAATGGGTGAGTGTTAATGGGTGTGAATGGGTAAGTGAATGAGTGTTAATGGATGTGAATAGGTGAGTGAATGAGTGTTAATGGGTGTGAATGGGTGAGTAAATTAGTGTTAATGAATGTGAATGGGTGAGTGAATGAGTGTTAATGGATGTGAATGGGTGAGTGAATGAGTGTTAATGGATGAGGCCAATCCACTGACCCTCCCTCTCCTTCTCAGTCCCTCTGGTTCTGGTCGGGCTGGTGGTGTTTGCCGTGAGCGGGATCTTTGCAGACCCCCTGAACGACTGCCTTCAGGACACCGACTACGGCGAGCTCCTGGACCTTGTGGTCAAAGGCCTTCCCGCCTCCAAGACGCCTAGCCACATCGCCGTCATTGGAGGGGGCGTCGCCGGTCTGACCGCCGCCAAGCTCCTTGAAGACGCCGGACACACGGTGAAGAAAAAGGATGATTGGAAGCTTCAGGTGTGTCTTGTTTTTTAATGCTTGAAATACATATTCAAGTACGAAACCTTTGTGGACAACGAAGGTGACCATCGTGGAAGCCAGCAGCCGCATCGGAGGACGGGTGGAGACCTTCAGGGACAGCAGAGAAGGCTGGTACGCAGAAGTGGGCGCCATGAGGATCCCCAGCTTCCACAAGTGAGTGGATACCACGGAATAGAACTAGAATATAGTATGGTTGAAGAAAAGATTGTGATTTGGGACATTCGTCAGATGGACAGGAACTTCCTGTTTTAATGTGATTCGTGTAAACGATAATAGTTCGCGGTGGCTAATCCAGCTGTGGAATTAGCACGTCGGCCCCAGGAAGAAGATCGATGACGACACCACGCTCTATTCCACAGGATTCTGCTCTCCTTCGCCTCCAAGCTACAAGTTACCCTGAACCCCTTCATCCAGCACGACGTCAACACCTACTACCTGATCAACGGCGTGCGCCACAAGACGGGCGCCGTGGGCGACGACCCGGACCTGCTGAACTACAGCCTGAGCGAAGGCGAGAGGGGGAAGTCGGCCGCTCAGCTCTTCAGTCAGACGCTCTGGAAGGTTTGTGCACATGACGCGTGGTGTGACGTCGTGGTTGTTAGTGTTTGTAGTTGTGGGTGGAGGAGGAGGGGTGGGTGGTGGGGGTTGCGGTTCTGATTGTGACCTGTGTGCAGGTGCAGGACGACCTGAAGGCCGTTGGCTGCAGAGCCATGATAGATAAGTACGACTCCTACACAGTGAAGGTATTTACACCTCGACGTTGACGGGCAGGCTGGTGGTTTGAGTCTGAATATTTTCACAGTTTTGCCTCCAACCGTTGGCAGGAATACCTGGTGAAGGTGGGCAATCTGAGCCGTGGTGCCCTGAGGATGATCGGGGACGTCCTGAACGAAAACAGCCTCTTCTACACTTCGCTGATAGAGATGTTGTACATTCACGCAGACATCAGCGACAGCACGAAGTAAGAGACTTTTATTTTGCTGTGTTATCACGGCAGCACACAGCATGCAGACCTTCACGAGTTAAAGCTGCATTCTGTGTAGTGACCAGCAGGGGGCGACTCCTCTGCTCCCATAGACGTCTATGAGGAAATGACTCTACTTCTCTGTAGTGACCAGCAGGGGGCGACTCCTCTGCTCCCATAGACGTCTATGAGGAAATGACTCTACTTCTCTGTAGTGACCAGCAGGGGGCGACTCCTCTGCTCCCATAGACGTCTATGAGGAAATGACTCTACTTCTCTGTAGTGACCAGCAGGGGGCGACTCCTCTGCTCCCATAGACGTCTATGAGGAAATGACTCTACTTCTGTGTAGTGACCAGCAGGGGGCGACTCCTCTGCTCCCATAGACGTCTATGAGGAAATGACTCTACTTCTGTGTAGTGACCAGCAGGGGGCGACTCCTCTGCTCCCATAGACGTCTATGAGGAAATGACTCTACTTCTCTCTTGATTTATTCCCTCAGTGAACGTTGTAAACATTAGTTTATGGTCTCAGTCTCTAGTTTCAAGTCTTCTTCAACACAGCATGATGTTCATTTAGTGAACATTTATTTACTGATGGTCCATTTAGAGTCAAACAGACCATAAAGCAGGGGACGCTTTAGGGCGGGGCTACACGCTGATCTCTAGTAAGAGACTTAGTCCTGATCAGTCCTAATATGGTCACTTCCTGTTCCCTAAATGCAAAAAACAAAATGAAGAAGACTTTAAGAGATTAAGTCCATGAACTGTTTAACAGCTTGTGACTACGAGGTCTATCTTCCTCCAGGTACTTTGAGGTGTCTGACGGTTTCGATCACCTCCCGCGGGCTTTACACCAGACATTAAACGCCACCACCCTCTTCAACTCCAAGGTCAAGCGGATCAATCAGACAGGTGGCGGCGGCGGAGTGACGGTGACGTACCAGGACGGGCGTGGCTCGGGCCCGCTGACCGACCTGGTGGCGGACTACGCCCTGGTCACGGCTTCGGCCAAGGCGGCCGTCTTCATCGACTTCCAGCCACCTCTCTCCGCGGACAAGATGGAGGCTCTGCGCTCGGTCCACTACGCCAGCTCCACCAAGGTCATCCTCAGCTTCGCCGAGCGCTTCTGGGAGAAAGAAGGCATCAGAGGGGGCAAGAGCGTCACGGACCGGCCGTCGCGCTTCGTCTTCTACCCCAGCCACGGCTTCCGCGGCACGGCGGCGGGCGCCCTGCTGGCCTCCTACACCTGCTCCGACGACTCCACCCTCTTCCAGGGCCTGAGCGAGGAGGAGCTGATGGCCGTGGTGCTGGAGGACTTGACCAGGATCCACGGGGAGCACGTCAGGCCTCTGTGGACGGGGGGCCTGGTGAAGAAGTGGGGCCTGGACCCATACAGCCTGGGGGCCTTCGCCCTGTTCACGCCCTACCAGCAGGGCCAGTACGCCGCCGAGCTGTTCCAGAGCGAGGGCCGGGTGCACTTCGCCGGGGAACACACCGCCACGCCGCACGGCTGGATCGAAACCGCCATGAAGTCGGCGCTCAGGGCGGCGAGGAACATCAACGCGCTCACGCTGTAGTCAGTGAGAAGAGGAAGACGTCTCTCGGGATCCGTCCCACCCGCTGGTCCACCCGCACGCCTCCTGGACACTTTCCCTCCGATGTCACTTTGACCTTTGTCTTTGTGTCTCGTACATATTTATTGAGTGAGGCGTAAACACGACGTGGTACACGACGCGTGATTTTTAAACCAATGAGTTTTCTCAGCTCCGGTGACGCCGCTGATTGCTCTTTAAAATTTTAGACATTGTCAGAAAATTGTGAAAGAAGTTTCCAAGAGTCGAAGCTTGTATGCTGATTGTTTGTTGAGACCAAAATGGCAGAATATTACAAACAGTTATTTCATTATTGAATCAGTTTTTTCCTACAATTGACTTTAACAGTCGACTGATAAAAACAACATTTCCATATTTATGAGTTTTACAAAGAAGACCACTTTGTTTTTAGACTGAAATGAGAAAATACTAAATCAGACAGCTTACAGAATACAGGTTGTTCTTTAGAACACATTTGTTACTTGACTTCCTTAACAGGGTTTGTACAAAGGTAATAAAGTGGTCCATATATATGATACACTGGTTTATTACAAAAGTCTTTATCTGTGCTCGATGTAAATCTTTCCCTCATTAACCCAGATGACAGCACACATACACGATTCATACAAACAACGTGCTGATGCTTCACATCCTCTGAGCTTTGCTCCGTCCCTCCTGATTAAAACCGCTTTACTGTGTTGATAAAGTTTAATAATTTAAGATAAATGTTTAGTTAAGTTTAATGTTTTTGAAGAGACAATTATCTGTGTGATCAATATTACATTACATGTCATTCATCTGACACAAGAACAAGAAAGTGTAATTTCATCAAATAAGCCAATCTACAACTTGCTGTAGAGAAGAACCATTATAAGTGGTTCATTGGTAAGTGCCACAGTTAGTGTGTTAGTGGAGGTAGAGTGTGAAGAGGTGTGTCTTTAGTCTGAAGATGTGAAGGCTCTCTGTGGTCCTGATGTCTTCAGAGACCTCCTTCCACCATTTAGGAGCAGGACAGCAGAGAGTGGAGATCTAGTCGAGTGTTTTGCTCTCAGTGAGGAGGAACAAGCAGTTTATCACATGCAGAGCGGAGAGTGCGGGTTGTTGAAGGAATTGGGCTTATTCCATAAACACAAACATTTGTTAGAGATGAGGATATTGGATGAGGATACAGATGTTCTGGGGCAGCATGAAGATATATAAATAAACTGCAGACCAACTAGGTTATTTAATGCCCCTCCAAAAAAAAAAAAAAAATCACAAAAACTCAGCCATCTTTTAATTGACAAATACGATATGTTTAATTCACATGTCAATCGAACCAGGATAAAAACATTTTAAACACGGTCCGACGATGACAGCAGAAGAAGCAACCACTCGATGGCTGGATTCCTTCCTTCCAGTCAGATACGCCGAGGACCACAGACAGGATGGCGGACACGAGCACACTGATGTCACACAAACGGCTACGTCTCGCCACACGTCCTCCGTGCCCGCGGCCTCCCACCGCTACACAAAACACTTTGTTCATGTCCTCGGCCCGGTTTTCCTCTTGGGAGTCGCTCTTCATCTTCATCAGTGAGCGCCCTTCTGCACCATCTGCGTGAAGCGGTTGGTGATGCTCAGGGTGGTGTCGATGAAGCGCTCCACGCAGCTCACCAAGCACGTCTCCGTCCGGTGGTCGAGCTTGGAGCCGGGACTGTCCACACACTTGTCCCAGCAGACGTCAGTGAAGGTGTGCACCTGGAAGAGAAAGTCAATGTAAAACAGAACATTCCTTGGTTTGAATGCGTTTTGGGGATTTAGTTTTGAACAGACTGCAGGAAGAAACTGTCAGTTTAATGATGTTTGGATGGATTGTTTGTTTTATGGTGATCCGTTTAGCTCAAATTTAAGTTATTTAATAATAATACAAATATTCATGCGCGCGCGCGCGCACCCAACCACCCACCCACCCACACACACGCGCGCGCGCACGCACGCACGCACAGATATTGTCATCTGTCTAAACGGCTCATTTGCTTCAGTGCAGCGAGGTAAAACACTTGTGTAATATTCTTCAAATCGTGGATAAGTCGTATTAACGTTAAATCATCTTCCAGGGGACACTAGAGGGCTCACGCTCCCCTTCGCCCGGTGCCCTCAACGGGTGGCACGTAGCACAGTTAGCATAGCACACACACACACACCTGGGCCTGGAACTGCGCTTTCTGTTGCTCTATCGCGATCATTCGCTGCAGCTCGGACGCCTCTGCCTTCTCCGCGTCGTTGAATTGATCAAACCCGTCCATAGTGTCCGACAAACGGCGGCGGCACACCGGCGTTCTTCCGCGTTGTTAACGGCACCGAGGCGTGCTGACCTTCTTCTTCACCGCTGTTGCTATGCGATGTACTGGTGTGCGCAGGAGCAGCACCGTGACGTCAGTAAAAATCGACGCGCTGAACGTGTCGCTTTGAGTGACGATGTTTGTGTTTGCCAGGAGTCGCCTCCAAAAAGAGACCAGGAATCATTTACAAATATCATTTAGGGATCACAGGTTTAATTCAGTGGTGTCAACAGTGAGAAATATGTATTAGCAGCTCTGAATATACGGAATATTGTTACATGTCATATTTATATTGTAACGGACTGTTGTTTACATGTTCTGTGAGCGAGTTACACATTTACGGAGTTTGGAAGTTCAGTGAAGGGCTCACAATGTTTTTATGTCAATCATCCTCGTGCCACCTATGGAGATTGTTGTGGTGATTTGTGGGCGGGACAAGGAACGTAACGGGGGAGCGTTGCGGATTCTGGTGCTTGAAAGCGGTGGTTTCCTGTTCGACGAAGGCTGCGGCCTGATTCCTA